ACAGCTGTCAAGATTGTATATTATATTTTTATATTCTTGCTAAAGAAATGGGTTAACTATTAGTAGTACATTCAGGGGAAATTTAGGATACTCTGAATCCTCTACTATAAATTCTACACCTCTTGGTCTCCAATGAGATCTTTATTTCTAGCTTCTGACATTTATTATTAACTATAGAAAAATTGTAGTCTTAATATCTGTGGAATTGGTTGAGCAGTACTGATGCTTTTTTTTTGCCTAATCCAAAGAATCTTATCTGCCTTTTTTTTTTTTTTATGAGTCTGTTTCTCTGTGGGATCAGCATTCTCTATGGTGTTGGAAGGAATGTTTTGTACCTTCTTTAATAGGGAAATCACTTTCTTTTTACCATCGGAAAATGGCTTCCCTATTGTATAATACCAATTAGACAATAATCATTCTTTTTCTCCCACCTTGAGTGGGTAGGTCAAGCCATAATGTAATATTGCTTAGCGTATTCTTATATTGATTATATTAGTTAGTTTGAGTGCATTTGTGTGATCTAGACCTTCAATTGAACCTTTTATTCTAACCTATGATTATTTCATCGGACTGCAGATCTATTCATTGACTTAAAAGGAATATGGATGACTAACTGTAACCTTGCCATCTGATTGGGAAAACAAAATAAACAGTGACAATAAAACCCTTCAAAATGTATGTCACCAGAAAGCAGTGAATAGTAGAAAGATCACTGAAAATGGAAATGTAGATTCTAGTAAAAGCACTACAATTATTAACTGCATGACCACGGGCATATCACTTAACCTCTCTGAACTTTAGTTCCCTATTCTACAATGCGAAATGTAAAATATAATATGCATTTCGTCCACCTCACAGATGATGAACTCTTAAGAACCTGGAAATTCCCCAACTTTTCTGTCCAGGTTGACTTTCTGGAAAAGTGCTTTATTCTCAGAGGATTTGATTATTGAGTTATCTTTATATTCTGCTGTTGTCAGTAGATTTACCATAAATGCTTCCTGAGAGTCTCTCTTGAAGAGATTCAGGCCCCAGTTAAGTTCATCCCAATTAAAAATAGAACCCTGAGATGCAGCTACTGTAGCACCTCTTAAACCTCTTCAAATAACATTGAATGACTAAGTGCCTGCTACTGTGGAGATAGTACCCACAAAACCAACAGCAGCCCCTCTCAGAAAATGATAATACTTTAAGTGGCTGTCAGTCTTCAGTAATTTCTTGTAGTTCACGGGATGCTACCTTATCTTCTAAGAGTTCCTGGGGTAGCGGGGGCAGGGGAGGGTGGGAATCACATATTCTTTATTTTATAAAAATATCTCATTCCCACAGCAACAAAATCCTTCAAAACAACCTGAACAAACAGGCACACACAGTGATGATGAAGTTCTTTCATCTGAATGCAGTAGATAGTTGTACTAATGTTGGTGTCTAGCAGGTTTGAGGTAAAGGGGAAATGAAGCTATTTTATTTAGAAAGAGAACATTGATTCCTAAAAAGATGAAATAATTTACTTCCTTTCTTCCTGTTTCTTGAAGAAATGACTCGCTTTCAAATATATGACTCAAGAATTGAAATGATTTCTAATGGATTGTTTTCTTTGTTTCATATTTTCTTTAAATTCTTTAAGGAGAGTTTGAAAACAAACTTTCCTTATTTTCTCCATAATAGAAATTTCAAAATTATAAAAACTACCAAATGAAGAATTATTGAAGGTACTTTGTTTACAAGGCAAAGATCAGAAGATCTTTTTAAAATCATATTTTAATAACTATTTAATTCGAAGACATTTCTTTTCCCTTTTCTTAAAGATAAATTGCATTTTACCACTATTCATTAATAAGCAAAATAACCACTATTTAGGCTGCCAAATTTCTTTAATAAACATTTCCTTAGGTACATAGGATTCTTATTCACTTTCCCAAAGGGCCGAATTGACAAACATGGACTTTGCTTTATTCCCGCAGATCTCTGGATCCAAATCCCTGGGTCAAAATACATGCCATTCACTTCCTACATTTGGTTGTATGATCCCTCTGATGGCTCACAGGAGAGATCTTTCTGTTGAGAATTTTAGCACACCCATTAGTCACTAGATAAATATGTGAATATAGACCATTTGCAAAAGGAAAGCTCCCCAAATAGCTGCTTGTCCTTCATAATAACAATGGGTCCATTTTTCCCTAAAAGCGCTTGGCTGCCTTTGTGGTGTGACTTGAGAAATCTTGAACCTTTTATTCCAAATATATTTCTGTCCAGCCCTCCTACATTTTCACTAATAGTGTATTACTGTTTACTGTAGGTTAAATTTGGACGTTCAAGGCCATTCTTTTTAAAATATGGCAATAACTCTACCTTAGTGTGTTTCATTTTATAAGATCTTTTCTTCCTTGACAAAATAAATGGAGAAGGATGAGAAAACTGGATGACTGGCAGGGAAAAAATTTGAAAGAAAAAAAATGATGCAGAGAATGGAAGAAGAAGTGCTAATGTGCCAATGAGAGCCAGCCTGGTTCTCTATTAGATGTTCCGAATTTATGAATGATGATGTGCACTTTGAAATGTTCCCATGAGCTTCTAGCTGAGTGTAAATAGAGAATATCTTTCTAGAAAAACAAGTTGGAAATATTTACCAAGGGGATAAAGAATCTATCTATCTATCTATCTATCTATCTATCTATCTATCTAGCTAGCTAGCTAGCTAGCTAGCTAAATATCTATCATTTAACCATCCATCCATCTTCATCATCATCATTTATATCTATATTTATATAGATAACCAATAATTTCAACTGCAAGGCTCTATTCTAAAAATAATCAGCAATGAGCAAATTCGGACCCAAAGATGTTCATTGAGGCATTGTTTATCATTGCAAAAATAATGCAACAAGTTAAATGTTTATTAATAGGATAATGAAAACTATGAGAACTATGAGAATGAAATTATGCTATCAAAGTGACTAAAGCAGTATACAAAATATACTAATATTATGATCTCAAATATATAAAATACATATGCATAGATAATAGAATTTTAATTAGTGGTTGTCTATAAGTGTTTCTTATTTTTCTTTATTCCTTTTGTATTTTCCAAATTTTTCACAATGATCACTTATAACTTTAGATACAGAAAAAATATTATTAAAAATTTATCCAAGGGCAAATGTTCATGTCAAAATTTTAAACCTAAAATATGGGTGTTCTCTGAGGAGGTTGACTATTGCTGTATAGCAACTTCCTGGTGGTTAATTAAAGATCTGTCAGACATTCCCTTATGTACAGGTTCTTCATGTTCAAGGGCTATAATTCTATATAAAGATGTCCACATAGGATGAAATTTGGTGCCTGATTTTTGACTTTGGATAGTATTGTAGCTTGCTGTGGCCAAATCTGAGATAAAAACAAGTTGGGTAGAGTTTAAGACAGAAGGATATAATTCAAGCCATTTTCTTAGAACTAGACAATGGCACAAATGTGCAAGAAACAGAGGAAGACTTGAATTAGGCCCTTCTCAGCCCAAACATATGTGTAACAGTTTCATCTATTCATTGGACATGGACCTGTGTCATCAAACTCTTTCCTAAGTTTGTTTTGCTTTCTATGTTTCACACATATTTGACATATCTGAAGAGAGGTTCTAAACTCACTGTCTTGGTGGTCTTTACTCCACCTGGAATGGCCCATGTTACATGAAAACTCTTCCTCAAAGCCGCTGTTGCTTCCCCTACTGAGTGTGATTGTCCCTCTATGGCATACATATGCTGTTATTTCTTTGACTTTCTATTAGACTGTCAATTTCTTAAGCACAAAGGCTGTTATGTCTTTCACCACCTGGGGCCTTGCTCATCTTGGCAGAATTGAATTTATTTTACTTAATGAATTGGGTTAATTTGGCTGGCCCAGAGTCTGCCTCCCTCTCTTCATGCAATTTAGACATTGTGTACATCTATTAACTCAAAAAAATTATTGCAAGAAAGGATAATGATGAGTTTCTCAAAATTTCTCCATGTGGTATCTTTCTGGAGTAAATTATTTACAGACAGAAAACATGGAGCACAGAGCTACAAACTATTCGTGCCTTAAATTACCAGGGCTCTCCACCGTGGTTCATTTAACTAGTGGTATGGAAGAATGATGTGGGCTTTAGTGTTAGAAAGAACTGCATTTGAACTTAACCTTGGCACTTACTGGCAGTGAGATTTTGCATAAATGATTTAGTTTCTCCATGCCTCAGTTTCCTTATTTGTAACACATGGAATTAATTAATGTCTGACTCCCAGCATTGCAAAGATTATATTAAATGAAGGCACTTAACATAATAGCTGGCACTCAGATTTAAGTCTCTATGCTCATAAGGACAGAGGATTCATCATGTCCTAGAAAGCCGGAGCTAAGCCCCCTAGACTTTGCAGGGTGGTTATTTACTTAATTTCTAATCTGTTGCCCTGAAATCACTAATGTATTTACATAACGCAGGCCCCCAAACAGTAGCTCTTTTGAAAAAATTGAGGAAATATTGAGCTGGAGTATTGAATAAATGTCTGCAGTAAAAGCCTATTTGGCTGTAAGTACATAATCTATGAATCTTTTATATCTTCAAAGCAGGAGAATTTAGTGGGCCCTAGATCTAACCTGCTTGGGTTAAAAATTCTGCTACTATCTTAATCCCTCTGTTTCTGAGAGAAGTTCTTATCTAGAACATGGACTAGTAATAATAGTAATAATAATAATACTACCTGCCATATAGAGCTGCTTTGAGGATAAAAAGAGCTTATGTCTGCCAAGCACTTAGAACAATGCCTGGTGCATAGTAAGCGGTCGACTAAAGCTAGCAGCTCCTAATAAATTGATTTAAAAGGTAGAGCTCTTCAAGGACCATGTCGAACCAAATATTCTAATAATGAAATGAAACTTCTGTTGTAGTCCTGGTGCCATCTTTGGAGGGAGGAAGGGAGCGCATACTTTGAAGATTGTGCCTCACAGTGGCTTTGGTTTGTTAACAGTACTAGTCATGGAACACGGTGCACTAAAGAAGTTACCAGACGCCAAATGAGATAAGAAGCGTCCTGTGAGCTGCAACAGACTTGAAGACTTCCAGTAAATAGACAAGGGAGGCGATGGCTTTGTCCAAGAATCTTGTCCTTCAACCTTGACACCACTGATTTTTTTTTTTTTCCAGATGCTGCTGATCATATAAATAAACACTGGAACTTCCTGATAATAATTTTTTTTTTCCTGATGGAATTTCTACCTCTATTCATACCTCAGATATTTAATACAATAGAAATGAAATGATATGCCTGAGTGGATAACCTAGACTATCTGATATTAAGAAATAAAAGATGTGTAATTTGGTTACCTGGTCTATACATTGTGGCTAAGTCATTTTGATGTTTCAGGTAATGTCTTCTTGTGTCTAGCCCTTTACTTTCAGATATAATAAGTTAAAATATTTTTTTCTCTGCTCCCTGCACCACTGTCTCTCTTTTTCTCTTTCTCTTTTTTTATTTTTTTTGGTTTGTTTTATTTTGTGTTAGATTTTCTCAAATGTCTGGTGAACCTAGACTGTCCATTTATAATGATAAGTGAGGCACTAAAAAGAGATTGGCAACATGCTTCACAGATTAACAAGGAAGTAAGTCAGATTTCTCATGGGAAGGGGTCTCAAAAATGTCTGAATTTTAGTTCTCTCTTGGGTCCAACAGTTTCTCTGGAGAGGCATTTTATACTGTCTGGGAGAAATGAAGTTAAATGCTAGTGATCTCAGAGCTGAATGTAGGCACAGAGTGCGGGAACCTCAGGGCTTAGTAGGCAGGCAGACTTCTTTTAATTGCTAGCTTTGGTTGACCACTTACTATGCACCAAGCACTGTTCTAAGCACTTGGCAGACATAAGCTCATTTTATCCTTAAAGCAGCTCTATATGGCAGGTGGTATTATTATTTCATTGCCCTCCTTTTTAGTGCAGGTGTGATAGATGGCAACAACAGCGCCAACCTGTCACACCTCCCTATATCCAGGTCTTCAGCTGTATGGCTCTGCAGTTCCTCTCACTGCAGAGGTGGAGTTTCTTTCTCCAGAAGTGAATTCTGGGCTGCTTTGTTAGCTACTTCAGGCGATAGAACATGGCAGAATTGACAGTGTGTCATTTCCAAGTGTAAGACTCCAAAAGTCTTGTGTGTTTTGGCCTGTTTCCTCATGTCTGTCATCAGTAGCAGGGCACTTTGAGTTCTCCTGCTGGGAGGATGAAGGTAACCTAGTTGCCCTAGCCAAAGCGAGACGAGACCCGCAAATCAATCTCCCAACATGTGAGTGTCTCCAGCTAACCCTATATCCATAAGCAATAAATTGTTATGGTTGAATACCACTATGGTTTTGTTACAAAACATTATTGCCAAACAGATAACTAATACTGCAGGGTTTCACCCTTTTCCTCGGAGCTGCAAACTTCTTCAGAAATTAACCTCTTGTCTTCTTCCTGGTCTGGGGAGAAGGCACCAAGTTATATGGGGTAAGAGAAAGACTGGGGTTGACTAATTGCACCTTATATTAACCTTCAACCAATACTCGTTTGAGTACACCCTGGGCCCCACACTTAGAGGTCTCCGATGTGACAATTTATGACTTTTCCAAGGTTCTGTGCTATTGATGAAGTTTTTTCTTTTTCCATCTCCCTCTGTAGGCACCAATTTCTTGCCTTCTCCTGTTGACTAAGTAATTCTCCCATCTACTTTCCAATGTCTGAGGATTTGTTGCTCACTCTTCTCTACTGTCATATCCTTCTTAGCATTTTTTCCTTGGGTGCTTGGGGCCTTTAATTCTTTTCCTCTCATATAGAAAGATTTTAGGAGCAAGTCAGGAGAAATGTGTGTTTCAGTATTCCATGTTTAGCCAGAAATATCTCCAGTTATTATTTTTTTCCTCCATGATTCTGTCACCCCCCTCCCCCTTTTTTTCTTGAGAATGTTCATCTGATAGGTGTGATTACTTCAGGGTGTTACATAACATAATTACAAACTTCTCCCTGAATAATTTAATTATATAATGATAACTGACTCCTCTACTAATACTTTCTCTCTTCTGTATTGAATCTTATCTATTAATTTATTCATTGGCTATTTATCAAGGGTCTACTATGCTCCAGATATTGTACCAGCACTGGCGAAACAGTGGGGAACAAAATAGATTTGATTCCTCTCGTCAAGGAATCTACAGTCTTTTCTAAGCACTTCTTTCTGTTCTAGTATTATGAAGACCACCCTGTAGCTTTGGGGTTTATAATGTGGTAAACCAGTTTAAGAGTGAAGTCATATTAATAGCTTAAATATTGAGCAGTAACTTCATCTCTTTAAGCCTTGGGAAACTTTTTGTAGAATAAAGAACTAAAAAAAAAAATATTAGTATCTTGTTAACTTTTAAAATCAAGGTCACTCTCCTTCCTCTCCAACATATACATACATATGCATAAGCATGAACACACATGTACACACATTCTGATTTCCAGCTCCTTTTGAAAAATCAAAGGTACTACAACATTGAGCTACCTTTCTGCATGGCAACATCCAGCAGAACTCAGTAGGAGCTGACCTCTTTAGATGGGGCATGATCTGTCCCATTTGCCAAGGTCCCCACCATTTCTCATCCTAGTAGACCTGACTGTTTTACACATTTATGTTATTTGTCTGACCTCTGTGGTCATTTGAATCTCCCACCTCCTCTAGAGATTAGAAAATTGGAATTTTATTTTAAAAATATTCCTAAGGAAAAATTAGTTAATCTGTAACTTTCAAAGATATTAGCCACACTATTGCTTTTCCAAAATCATGTTCTTTTTCTATTATTATCAGATAACCCTAGATATAAATGTATTTAATTGTATATATTTTAAATATATTTAATATTTTTAAATGTATTTCAACATTTAATTGTTTTACTAGTGTTTGTTAATGACTGGGTTGCAGATTCTGAACAGCTTTTTGGCCTTCTTAGGTATTGTATTCTGTGAAATTCCTTATCTACCTGATTTCCAGCCTTTTGTGTCAGATCACTGTGCCCAGTTGCTAGGTCTACAGTTGCCTCCTGTCTCCACGTGGTTCTGAACTCATGACTCCATTTATCCAACTTCACGCTTTCCCTTTAGAGCCAGTCTTCATATTTGCTCTCTATAGTATTTAGGCTTTGGATATTCTTTAAAGACCCCAGCCTGGCTCATTCTTCCAGCCCACGGTGCTTTCCATTCAGTAGACCTGTTTACCCTCCTCTTGCATCTCTGCAGGCGTTGCCTGCTTCAGCTCTGCTGAGGCCTACGCCTCCCAAAATCAAAAAAGAATGTTCAGACATCCTGTAATCCTAGAGTCCTATGATAATTATCATATTGAGTAAAACATTCTTAAGGTATTAAGATTGATTTCAACACTTGAAATCAACTTTATAATTGGTTTCCACCTATGGAAATCCATGAATGAAGATTGATTTTCTTCACCTCTTTAGGAAAAAAAAAAAAAACTTTGTTCTTATGTACTACATAGTACCTTTATATTTTACCTGATTCCTTCAAAGGACATAAGGTTAATAAAAGTGACTATGATCCTTGGGCATAGTCATAGGAGGACAATATTAGAAGAAAGAAGTTGACCGTTGGTCTCATTCTTCCCTGCAGTGTTCAGTCCACTTCTGAACATTGTGTTTCAACTTGTGCACCACCAAACAAGGGAGATGCTGACAAACCAGAGGGTGTCTAGAGGAGAAATTTCAGGATGGATTGTGGGAACCTAAAGGTACATTGTGTGTGGAAAGGTTGAGAAGTCTGGGAAGAGTAAGCTTGGAGAAGAGAAGACTTGGGGGTGGTTTGAAAGAGGACAAGGAATCATCAGAGCCATCAAATTGTCACGTGGAAGAGAGAGCAGAGGACTCGAAGGGATTGAAGTTAGTTCAATGATTAGGAAACCTAGGGAAACATATTTGGGCTCATCCTCCCCACACCCCAATAAAAAGAACACTAGTTCAAAGCTGAAGTTTCCTACCTAAGCAGAATATTCTAGACCTCTAGGCAACCAAGCATAAAGTGGACGACCACTTGGTGGGGATGTTGTAGAAGAGATTGTTGGGATGATTGGGCCAGAGGATCTTAAGGCTTCCTTTAATCCTGAGATTTTAGAGTGTTTAAAATTGCCATGACAGGAGATTCCTGCACATTTTAAAACTTGAAATCACAGAATTGTGCATATTTTTAGATAACCTAGGAGTTGATTTATTTCTGGTTATTATAATGGTAAAAATGAAATATTAATGTGTGATATGTTCTGTTTACTCATGTAGCAAATTAGACCTTTTTTTTTTGGTCAACAAGTACCACTACACATTGTTGAAATAAATTTGGCTGCTTTTTCCATAAATTAATCAATCGGAGCCAATTAAGATAACATAAATGTCAACTTTGACCTAAATTTCTGGGTTAAAAATAATATTTATTTCTTTTCCCTTTTTCTTCCAAATTAACAGAGAAAGGATATAAATACCCTTTTCATATTATTATTACTGAGAGTTAAGAATATGTTAAATCTGGAAAATCCAGTTAGAAGGACCTATAATTGAATAATTCAGTCTCATTTCTTTCACATGGGATAAACCTCAGCTTTAGTAATTTTTCTCCTGATAGCCTTAACCATTCTTCTCAATCTGAGTTCATTTCTTTTTCTTTTATGTCCCTGGGCCACTGCCTGTGTTTTGATGAGAGAGCGGTCTTTTGTGAACATATTTATTTCCCCTTGTGGAAGGCAAACAAAAATTTGTCCTTTTTTGTAACCCCACAACACCTATTGCCTTCTCCTGCATACAGTGATTCTCAATACATGTTTGTGGTTTTAAATGATTTCTATTATAAGCTCATTCTATTTATCTGCTTCATGTTTTGTCCAGCAGTTTATATGCTAGCACTCCTTAAATATTCCAGCATTAATTAAATATCCCCTGTGAGATGGTGATGAATTTGCTTTGGAAGTTATAAGTCACTACTATTACGTGAGAAGATAACAAATTCTAACACATAGAAGCATGGCAGAAAAGAAAATGCATTTGACAGGTTTATTTTAAACATGGTTTTTAAGTGGGGAGAGCCTTTTCCTGTGGTCTGGAGCTACTATTTCCAGTGCTTAGGCAGAATTGTACAAGAGCAGAGGACAATTGGATCTAGTCCCAGCTCTACCACTAATTAGCAATGTGGCGTCGGGCCAAGCACTGAGTCTTTCTGATTTTAACTTCCTCATCTATAAAATGGGAGAACTGAAATTCTCTGGATTTCTAGCCTCTACAGGCTCAAATATTCCTTGAGAGTAAGCTGAGAGATTCTCTCTATCTCTGACATTGTCCCCTTTCTCTCTACTACTTATACTGTATAAAACTTCTGACAAGTTATTGGATTAAATAAGTACATGCATGTGAAGTGTGAGAACAGTGTCTGATGCAGAATAAGCACCAGCTTAATGTTAGCTCTTTTATTTTGCTACTTGGTTGAAAATATGTTAGTCCATGTCCGAAGTTAGAATTACAAACTAATTCCTGACATGGTGCCCGGCACAGGGAGTACATCAAATGCCAGTTTTAAATCTTTTTTTTTTTTTTTAATCATTCTACTTTCAAGCAGTATTATATGAAATGGCATTGCCCTCTGTTCTTAGAAATCCTGCTCACCCACTCATTCTGGTCCGCCATTTGCTATCATTACCTCCCACTCTGTGATGCTGTGTGTGTGTGTGTGTGTGTGTGTGTGTGTGTGTGTGTGTGTGTGTGTGTGTTTACACACAACCAGTTT